GCTGGATCTGACTACCTACTCAAAATAAATTAATTTAAAATCAGAAAAACGTTCTCGCAAAGGCACGTGTGAGAATTCATCCGAGACAAGCATTATACAGTGTTTGTCGGTTCCAGCTAGTCAACAAGCGTTAAAGTTGTGCGCAGTTAGTCCAGTTGTTGTTTTTCACGGAACCGAAAATGAGGCGAGCGAGGAAACTCTCGTTTAGATTTACTGAACCCGAGATTTCTTGCTCCGAATGTAAAAACTATAGTTACAAACGCATTGAGACGATCGTTTGGTTCAAGGTTTAATTTATAAAACTTAATTCAAGCTTATCAAGAAGCTTTTTGCATACTCTCAAATGTTCCGCTGTGTGGTAGCGGACGAGAGAAAATAATATCATGGCTGCTCATAAGGATTTCATACCAAATGAGCTTTTGTAACTAAAGGTTTAGACAGAGGGGACAATTTCTAGGGAAAATTTGTGAATCATCCTGCAATTTTCAAGGTAACCAGCTGTTTTTCCTGCTGTGGCTATACTTTTTCTATACCATAAATCCCTAAATTTAGCTGCAATTTTTTCAAAAACGTAAACGTTACGTACTAATAGTGTCATATCGTAGTTTTATTTGAGTTTTTTTTTTTTATCGTTACCTAGATCACATTGACTAGTATTTCTTTTTACTTAATTTCTATTGCTCCGGAGAAGCGTCCTCTTCCAGCTAAAACCAACTAAATCCAGCATAGCAAAGCTTAGGTGATTATTTTCCACATAAGGTTGTTCGGTATATAAGCTGATGACCAGAACTGAGTTGAGCAATCAGAAAACTGGAAATGTAATAATTTAATGAAATGTATATTAGCCATCTTCTGAAACTCCTCATCCTGTTTTAGTGGTCTTTCATTGTGGCTGCTCTGACGGTGACTGGATCGTGTATGTGGTTTCTGCGTATTACCCAGTCAACAAGAGTGTTCACTTACCCGGCCGTCGTTCTACTGGGGTTTGGGTCCTCCGCCATGTTTGTTAATGCGCTTGGCTTTGTAACAGAACTTATTGGAGACAACAAAGTAAGTTTCAGAACTCTTTATTTCGTTTAATATCTAAATTTTCATAAAACTCATGACAACTGTACAAATCCAGTTGTGCTTTAATATGACGTTTAAAACTAATCCTTTTTGTTAAATGAATTTTTCCCGCAGGGCAGCTCTGGTTTGGTGATTTCTGTCGTGGGTACCATCTCCAATCTGACCTCAGGAACTCTTTATATCGTCATACAGGTTTTATTTCCTAAAGGAAGGTAAATTTGGACTTTTTGTTTTGAGATAAGAAATATTTTCATCATTGTAAAATATGAAGTGATTTCTTTGACAAAATATGACTTCCCAGCCTGTTTATTTTTCTTTTCATTGTTCTTTGGTCTTCCTTAGTTTCTTTCTTCTTCCATTTTCTTTCGCATTTTAATTTTTTTCCGGTTTTATATATGTTCTTCTTCTTGACTCTTTGTACTTCTTGTTATTCAATGCCTTTTTATTCTGTTCATCCTTCATCCCTACCAGGCTCCTTCTTTCATCCTGTTCAACAATAAATTCTACCAGCATTTTACGGGGCTTAAAATGCGTTCCAGGAGCGTTGAAATCAATGGGATATTTTCGCGAAATGGAAGAAGGCAACAAAACTTCAAGATAAATTTTGAGTGGAATTTTCATTAGAAAGGTGGAACTTTCTTCAGAAAAAGTAATTACGCCCATGAGCTATTTAGAAGAATTACGAAAGCGAAAAAAATGTTCAAAATGATAAAATAGCTTTTTTATAACTCAGGTATCGACGTCAATACAGGTATTAAAAGAGAGTTATTCTCTCTAGAAAGACTTTCCAAAGGGTAAACATTTGGAATGGTTCGTTTTTTTTTTCATAGTACATCTGCCGATTGCCAAGAGTGTGGGAGTTACGTACAAAATGTGTTCTCATTGGTGCCAAGCTCACTCGCTACTTTTAGCTTGCTGCTTGTAATAGTTTTTCAAGTTAACCAAACAGTCCGCGGGAAAAAAGGTGAGA